ACCTTGAAGAACTAAATCGATTATCTCTTGATCACTCACCAAGTCTTCAACCGGGATATTCCTGTCGATATCGATAATAATAACTAATAAACGATAATAACATTAACTAATATTCATCCAACGATTGTGCATAAATGATCACTTGACTTCGCCGGTATAAAGTGAAAGTTTTTATATAATAATAATATAAAATAAACCTTGTCTATAAAATTTTGTGAAACTTACGCCGGAGCCGTTATAAGGGGTAAAATTTATATGTAATTTTTTGGTGCAGCAAAATTAGCCCGGTATAAAGCGAGACCGGTATAAACAAGGCCGGTATAGAGAGAGTTGACTGTATTACTTTTACCTGTAGTAGTCGTGATCGGCAAAGGAAAAATGTTTGTGACACTACCAAAAATTTTTTTACTATTTTGTATTTGCGCGCGCGACAAACCGACAGAAACTTTTACATTTTCCCATTTAATTTCTAATACTCATAATAATAACGATAATACTACTACTACTACTAATAATAATACTGCAAACTCTAGACATGAAGCTGAAGCGCCAATGCTGTGAAGCTTTGCGATATCCAGGTGTGATGGCTTGTCATTTTGTTGTTGTTTATCTCTATTTTTGCACTTACTCGTGCATGTTGAAATTGCAGGGTACTGGGCACGGATGGAAGTACCTTCACTTGAGTCCTTCCTTCGTTTCCGCCAAGGGTTCAACCAAAAACCCATGCTAGATAGAATAACAGAACATCATTCGTATGAACGCGAACTAAAAACGATTAAAACGTACTATCCGACTGGTCGGGTCAGCGAGCTCGTGTCGAAGGCGCTCACGTCTTTGCCGGTATGTAAACACATTCGCGTATGACCGTGAAGAGCGTCATTTAGGATGCATCATCGGCTACTGTTGTGGAGTGCTTCTTCACAACAGGAAAGACTGCTTGTTTGTCGATGAGCACATACGCGTAACTGCGTAATGTGGGCACTCGTGTTCTCTGTTGTGGGGGACCACATCTGTCTCAATGTCTGCCTCAATTTTTCTGACCCGGATGCTGCAACGGACTAGAGCGGGTGTCGTGTCGGCCCATGTTTTTCACCAACTACGTGATCATTAGCTGTTTCGCGTTTGTGAATCCGAAATCGAATGTTTATTAACCATTTTTCCTCTACACTGTCTGCAAGTCCGAGATAAAGTCACTGGCTACACAAGCCTTTTGGAACCAGCAGGCACAGCTGCAAACACTCAATGAAAAGCTTCGAGTCGAAAAGGTTTTTATTACTGAATTAGTGATAACGTATCTATTATTATTTATATACTAATATTGCGTATTTGTCCTTCAGTTGCGCGGTGCCACATTGCTCCTTGAAAGAGGGAATGACTACTTGGAGAAATCTGCCGTCGCGACCCAAGAAATCCAACTGCAGACAGTACAGTCGTTAATCAGTGCAGGCGCAGAAGGGGACCACGACGATGGTCAAGAAGAAGTACCCAGTTTTCCGTTAAATAGTCTGCAACAGGAAGTCCATTTTGATTATGAAGCCCAAGAATCAGTCGATGAGAATGAGATATCATTTGGCGAAAAGATAACTGCGTGCGATGATGAAAATTACCCGTCTTCTGATGACGTCGATTGGGAAGGCGTGCAAAAGCGGGTAGAAAATTATCGTAATAGTATTGCCGTGGACAAGCGTCTGTACAAGTATGTATTTTTCCTCATTTGCATCATAATTAATGATTGTGCTTTGTCTATTGACGTGTTTTCAGTCCGCTCTATTATTACGTCATTGACCACTCAAGGCAACACATCCCAACGAACAATGTATTAGATACAGATTTTCAAAAAATAAGCAATCAAGCGAATATCGCATTCGATGTTGAATCTTGGGCATTGTCCGAAGACGAAGGCAGATTCGTGGACCGTCTTGTGACAGTTAAGCATCAGTTGGGGGTTCAGTTGAGCATTAATTGTTGAATGTTAACTTGCCTTCTATAGTCCGATGACGTCGATAATGTACCTTTGCAAGAAGGCAACGACATACATATAAAGAATTTAGTGCGAACCCTGTAAGCGTTAAAAAAATGCGTGTTTCGTTCGTTGTTAAGCTTGTATGTTTACCTCTCTTGCGCTTGAACTACTACAGAAAGGTGAACCATGCAAGGAATCGGGAATTCTTATCGGAAACGCACCATGCCATAAGGAACTTACTCCCATTTGTAGACGCAACGATGGACCGACGTGGTTCAAAATTATATAGAGTCGATTGGTGAATATTGAAACATGTTAGGAAGTATTCTTCGCTACCGCTAACATATTCTCAAATTTCTAGGGGTGAACAAACACTCTATGCGTCTGCGGAACGTCGAAATAAAATGAGGGATCCACAGCTGAGCTCGCTGGTGGGAGTGAAGCCTGATTGTAAGATGGTTTGCACGACGGCATCGTGGAGAGTGGAAATAGGCGTTGGGGAAGTCTCTGGGGGGTTGCCCGAATGTTGTCATGCTAAGCTGTGGCACGACAAAGTAAAGCTGGCGCTCGAACTTCGTGACATGTGCGTGAGCATACAAAACCGTTTGGGTCGCATTGTTCCAGTTTTTGGTTGGCAATTACAAGGTGAGTGATCACACTTGAGTGAACTCTAGGAGAACTTACATGTACATGTGCTAACTTGAGTTATGGACATTACAGGATTTCATTTGAAGGTGTATGGCATGACCCTGCACCAGGGTTTTTTCCATCTGAAACTTCTCCACGAAATCGATTTGCCGAGCGGCGAGGACGACTTGTATCTTGTCGAGGATGGCATTAGAGTGTTTCGCGCGTTCAACAGTAAGATGGAGGATACGGTTAAACGTATCAGGGGAATTCTGAAAGAAAAAACGAACGCCACGCGTAAACGGAAGACCAATACTTTGGACGCGAGTATGCAACGACCTATAACGCCGCCGCCATTGAATCAGCCACCGATCGTGCTGACACCAGCTCAGAAACAGCGCAAACGAATGGAAGACGAAAACGATTGTGAGTAAATTTTTTAATCATGGTATGTTAATAAAATCCACATAGTTCATGTGTGTGAGCAAGGAATAGTTTGGTTGATAGTCAACATTTTAATACAACGCACAAGAGTGATAGTGTGTAGGTGATATGGATATATATAGAAAAAGACCACTTCTAGAGCTAAATTTTGAACACAATGCTTTCCCATAAAACAAGTGTTTGTTGAATACTGTTCCATGTCTAATAACCGGCCAAACGTTTTAGTCTTACAGCCAGGCTTCGTGCTGCCAGAAAGACATTCACGTGACGATTGGTATGTAGGCTAAAGGGATTACTTAAAATGCTACATTGTAGAAAGATGGAGATTAAGCTTATAAATGAGAATATGAACGGCTTCACTAAAAAAAATACGTAACAATGGATGAGCCAACTCGATTAAAATTGAATTCCATATTTATAATATAATATAACCCTAACCCTAACATATTTGTAGTACATAATAATATCTGGACATTTTATCCACTTTTAATTCCTTTAATCAATTCATGCGAGAACATTACGGGAGATTATATGAGAAACTAGAAAATTTATCATGGGGGCTTTTGGACCTCGACCTTTTGGGGTCTTCCCGATGATCGCAATTAATTTTAACACGATCAGTGA